ATTAACCCTTTTTTTTTTTTAGTGTTGCTCTTTATTTATTTCATGGTTTCCTCCTTTCCGTTGAAATTGTCTACACGCTTGTGGATTTCAGTGGCTTCCCTGTGTCGTCTGACGTGGTAGTTGTTACAGTGGTCCAGCATTTCTGTGCTGAAAGGAGGAAATCATGAAAATGAACACAATCTGTCCCCCAGTATTAAAACCTCTAACTTCAGGGCAGTAAACAAAGAGAAATGCTAAAAAAACTGGGGAATTCCAGGCAGGAAAACATCAGGGCCAGCTAATGCCTCCCAACAAAGGATTCCCCCAGGTGGGAAGCAGCCAGGCTTTGAAGCTGCAAGGTTATTCAGTGCTAATCAAGGTGATCAATAGCAGCATTGACACTTGCCTCAAGCAGACAAGAGTTCTTTCTCCCACACTGGACATTATTCCACAGATATATAAACCCCACTTGTTTAGTTTCCAACAGACCTTACAACCTCTGAAGATGCCTGCTATAGATGTGGGCAAAATGTCAGGAGAGAATGCTTCTGGAACATGGCCAGGCAGCCCAGAAAACAATTCACAGCAACTCAGTGCTTCCGGACATGAAAGCTTTTGACAAATGACTTAGAAGGGTTCAAAAGAGGTGCAGAGATTGCAAATTTGCATTGCACAAAAATAAATATATATGTATATTCAAAAATTAGGAATATAGCAACACAACAAAGGCAGTTAGAAATGTTCAAAGGGGTGCGCTGATTGCAAATTTGCATTGCACAATATGTATATGTATATATATATGTATGTATATATATATATATATATATATATATATATATATATATATATATGTGGAAAAATTAGGAATATAGCAACGCAACAAAGCCACTTAGAAAGATGTAAAGGGAGGCACAGATTGCAAATTAGTACCACGCACAAATATATAATAATTTAAAAAATAGAGTTTCTCAACAATAGAGTTCCCAGCCAAGCCGTTCGAAAGGCCGGGCTGCAACTCCCGCACGCACCGTTTAATAATAATGCAATTCCCAACCAGTTCCCAGACAGAGGCCCAGCTAAGCTTTTGTGAGCAGGACTTGAACTGGGCCGCTCTCCTCCTTTTGGGGCGGCTTGTTTCCTGCGGATTTCCCAAAGCGCTTGGCGTCTCCCCCGCTGGGCCTGAGCTTAGCGGTCAAGACAGGTTTGTCTCAAACGGTCTGGAAGTTGAAGGAGGCGGGGGGGCATCATAAAAAGCATTGTGGCCAATGATTATCCCCTGGGCAGCAAGCAGGACTTGGAAAGGTCACTCTGCGTTTCTGTCCTTGGTGTAAACCAGTTTGTCCTGTTGCCTAGACTTTTTATTTTTTTCTTTTACTAATTACGATTTTAATCTCAGTTGTTTGTCCCGAGTAGGACGTTTTTTCCTGTGGGATCTAATTGGAGACTCGGCCTCGCCGTGTGTGCCAAGGCCGTGGATATGCAGACGTCCACTTAATTCTCATAGAACAGAGCTAGTGGCTTTGGTATCAAAACTGGTCTGTTTCCCAGCCATGCCCTTCTCCTTTCTGTGTCCAGTTCCAAGAGGACAAAGGCATGGGCCAACTTGAGCCCTCCCTCCAGGTGTTGGAGTCCAAAACACTCTCGCTTGCTGGGGTGTTCCAGCGAGTGTCTCTGTAGATCTTAGAAAACTATTTCTTGATTTAACTCCCACACTGTGGGTATGCAGATGATCCCCTGATTGACTATTTATTTATCGTGTCATCAGCAACCATACCATTGTATTACAATTCTAACAGAGCAAAACAAACACACAGAAATCTGGTAGTTGGTTAAATGTCCTTTGACCAGTATCTGGCCACTTGGAGTGCCTCTGGGGTTGCCGCAAGGACGTCCTCCCTTGTGCATCATGTGGCAGGGCTCAGGGTGCATTGCAGCAGGTGGTCAGTGGTTTGCTCTTCTCCACACATGTCGTGGATTCAACTTTGTAGCCCCATTTCTTAAGGTTGGCTCTGCATCTCGTGGTGCCAGAGCGCAGTCTGTTCAGCGCCTTCCAAGTCGTCCAGTCTACTGAGTGCCCAGGGGGGAGTCTCTCATTTGGTATCACCCAGGAATTGAGGTGCTGGGTTTGGGCCTGCCACTTTTGGACTCTCGCTTGCTGGGGTGTTCCAGCGAGTGTCTCTGTAGATCTAAGAAAACTATTCTTGATTTAAGTCGTTGACGTGCTGGCTGATACCCAAACAGGGGGTGAGCTGGAGATGTCTCTGCCTTGGTCCTTTCACTATTGGCTGCTACTTCCCGGCGGATGTCAGGTGGTGCAATACCGGCTAAGCAGTGTAATTTCTCCAGAGGTGTGGGGCGCAGACACCCTGTGATAATGCGGCATGTCTCATTAAGAGCCACATCTACTGTTTTAGTGTGATTGACTGAAGGGTCCCATTCCAAGAGGACAAAGGTATGGACCAACTTGGGCCCTCCCTCCGGGTGTTTTGGACTCCAGCTTCCACACTGTGTGTATGCAGGTGATCCCTTGATTGACTGAAGGGTCCAGTTCCAAGAGGACCAAGGCATGGGCCAACTTGGGCCCTCCCTTCAAGTGTTTTGGACTCCAGCTCCCACAACGTGGGTATGCAGATGACCCCTAGATTGACTGAAGTGCCCAGTTCCAAAGGCATGGGCAGAATATAAATAAAGTATATTATTTTACTGACACAAAAACACAGTATGTCACAGCAAACAAGATCGCCATGCTGGATTTTGTATCACAAAATCACAAGTCGAACACTTCCCAAGCGTCTAGGACTGTGTTATGGATCTGCGTGCACCATTCAAAAGTATATTATTATTATTATTATTATTATGCCAAACAGCTCCGAATATCAGGAGGTTCTTCCTAATGTTGAAGTGAAATCCCCTTTCCTGCAATGGAAGGATTCTATCTATCATATGCATATCTCTAACACAATCATATCTATCCTATGGCTCGCTGGCCATCTGTTGAGAGGGCTTCGGTGATGCCTTCCTGCCTGGCAGAAGGGGGCTAGATTGGATGGCCCTTGGGGGTCCCTTCCGACTTAATCTTCCGGCTGGATTAGCCCCCTCCCTTCACCTCCAAAGGACCTCTTTCCCTTCCTGTTTTCATCACCTTGAGTGCCGGTTTAAAGGATCCTTAAGTGACTGATCCTTTAAGTCCCTTGAGAGGAGGTTTCAAATAGACCCTTTAGGGCCACGTTTCATTGTTTGTGTGCCTTCAAATCACTCCTGACAGAGGCTTTTCAAATCTCGTCTTCCTCTTGAGGCTGAGAGAATGTCACCCAGAGCAAGGGTGCAAACTCTTGGAATTATGGTCCAGGACTCCAGGCTGCATCCCTATGGTGACCCTCTCCTGTTTGTTTATTTTTGTTTATTATTTACTCTTATTTCTCCTGATTCTGGGGATTCAAGGAGGCCAACACCAAGGAGGACACCACATAATTGCAACATAGCAAGTGCATTACAATAGGAATATAAACATTTTTTAAAAATCACATCTTTCCTTCTTTCTCTTATTTCCGCCCATACCCTTTCCTTCTTTGTCTTCCTTGCCTCCTTTTTCTTTCCTTCATCCCCTCTCTTCTCCTTTCATTATTTTCCTTTCCTCCTTCCTTTCTCTTTCCCTCTTTCCCTTTCTTTCCTCCCCTCATACCTTTTCCCACTTTCCTTTTTCTTCCTTCTTTCACTCCTTTTTCTTTTTTCCTCTTGTCATCCCTTCCTTCCTTCTCCTTTTTCTCTTCCTCCCTTCATCTCTTATTTTTCCCATCCCTTCTCTCTTCCCTTCCCCTTTCCTTCTTTCTCTTTCTTCCTTTCTACCTTTGTTCTTTGTCTCCCTTCCTCCACTCCTTTTTCTTTATTTCATGATTTCTCTTCTCCTTTCATTTTTTCCTTCCTTCTTTTCCCTCTATCCCTTTCTTTCCTCCCCTCATACCTTTTCCCACTTTCCTTTGTCTTTCTTCCTTTCTTCCCTCCCTCCCTCCCTCTACTCCTTTTTCTCCCCCCCCCCCCATCTTCCCTTCCTTCTCCTTTTCTCTTCCTCCCTTCATCTTTTCTTTTTTCTGTTCCCTTCCCTTCTTAAAATTACAACAGCAAAACAACAAAGGGGAAACAATCTGGGCCAACTAATCACCTCTCAACAAAAGATTGCCCCAGGCACTGCCAGGCCATCAAATGCTAATCAAGGTGGTCAGTTGAGACATTCCCACCTAGCCCCAGTAGACAAGAGCCCTTTGTCCCACCCTGGTCATTCCACAGATGTATAAACCCTTTTTCCTAGTTCCAACAGACCTCACAACCTCTGAGGATGCCTGCCATAGATGCAGGCGAAACGTCAGGAGAGAATGCTTCTAGAACATGGCCATATAGCCCGAAAAAACCTATAACAACCCTTCCCTTCTTTCTCTTTCTTCATTTCTACCTTTGTCTCCCTTCCTTCACTCCTTTTTCTTTCTTTCTCCCGCTCTTCCTTCCTTCTGTTTTCTTTTCCTCTTTCTTTTCTTCCTTCCTTCCTCCCTTCCCCTTACACATGCCGGCTTTCTTTCCCTGTGACATCACCGAGGGGCCACTTCACCTAGCAAGAGCCAATCCAGTGGCATCAGTGTCCCCTAGCCACAGGTGGGGTGAAGCAGGTGGGCTGCTTTTCCTCCCGTCCCCTCAAGGCAGAGGTTGTGGTTCTCCTCCTTCTTTGCTACACAACAAGTGGACGGTCAGCAGGATAATCTCAAAGTGAATGGAAATTAATTCATTTCAATGAGGAGAAAAGCTTAAGTGACTGAGGGGGAAAAGGAAAGGGCCTGAGGCTGTTAGGAATTATGGGAGTCAAAGTCCAAAACACCTGAAGTCCAAAACAACCTTGGCCTGATCTAGCTCGAGGGAAAGAACAGTCCCACTCTCTTCTGCCTTGGTTTTGGATTTTCTTTTCCTACCTAAGTGTTGTATCCTGTTGGATTTATTTTGTGCGTTTTGGCTCTGTCATTTCGGATTCTGGTCCCATCCTCTGGGGCATTATCCAAAGCTGCCCCATTGGGTCTGCTGAAGAGGGGTCCAAGGCTAAGCGTGCAACCCCGCACGTTGCACCCTGCATCAATGCACAGAACAGCCTTCGGTCCGGAAGGGAAGAGGGGCTCCTGGGTGCGTGGATACCTCCTTCCTGGGGAGACCAGCTGGACCCGGCCTTGTCCTGACTGTGGCTGATTGTGATGCCTCTTTCCCCCTCCTCTCTCTTTCTCTCTCTTCCTTTAGTACATCGGCAGCTTGGACGTGCCAAGACCCAACAGCCGCGTGGAGATTGTGGCAGCGATGAGGAGGATCCGGGTGAGTCAGCTTGCACACTCCTTCCATCCGTCTTTCCTTCCTTCCTTCCTTCGCCCACCACCCCTCTTTGCCCAGGAGCATCTTCTGCTCAGTTTGTCAGAAAACAGGAGATGGGCTGGTGACACGATGTTCCTGTTCTGCCTGCCTGAAATGCCACCTCCGCCTCCCTTCTCCGAGCTTCTTTTGCTCCAGAAGGCCTCCTGGCAATGCTCCGCGGCAGAGTCCGTTCCAGAACAGAAGCCTTCTGCAACAGCCAGGAAACGGCTCCATGCGCAAGGGGTTCGTGGTCTTCCTAGACCACAATTTGGACACTAGTGTTGGGGCCAGGAACCGGCTCCATGCATAAGGGGCTCGTGGTCTTCCTAGACCACACTCTGGACACAGTTGTCGGAGACAGGAACAGGCTCCATGCGCAAGGGGTTCCTGGTCTTCCTAGACCACAATATGGACATAAGCGTCAGGGCCAGGAACCAGCTGCATGCACAAAGGGTTCGTGGTCTTCCTAGACCACAATCTGGACACAAGCCAAGAGTGCAATGCAGCAGCTCAAAAAGCCAGTGAATACAATGGAATAGCTTTACTGTCATTGTGCTATTGCACAACGAAATTGCATGCCTTCCCCTGCGCTAGTATATAGATATAACTCTTACTAGTACTATACTATGTAGCCTTCTAATCAAGGTGAAAGAAGAAAGCGCAAAAGCTGGGTTGCAGCTAAACGTCAAAAAAACCAAGATTATGGCAACAAGAATGATTGACAACTGGAAAATAGAGGGAGAAAATGTGGAGGCCGTGACAGACTTTGTATTTCTAGGTGCAAAGATGAGTGCAGATGCAGACTGTGGCCAGGAAATCAGGAGACGCTTACTTCTTGGGAGGAGAGCAATGTCCAGTCTCGATAAAATAGTGAAGAGTAGAGACATCAGACTGGCAACCAAGATCCATTGCCTAGTCAAAGCCATGGTCTTCCCTGTAGTCACCTACGGATGTGGGAGCTGGACCTTAGGGAAGGCTGAGCGAAGGAAGATCGATGCTTTTGAGCTGTGGTGTTGGAGGAAAGTTCTGAGAGTGCCTTGGACTGCGAGAAGATCCAACCAGTCCATGAAATAAAGCCCGACTGCTCACTGGAGGGAAGGAGGCTAGAGACAAAGTGGAAGTCCTTTGAATGCCACATCATGAGGAGACAGGAAAGCCTGGAGAAGGGAATGATGCTGGGGAAGGTGGAAGGCAAAAGGAAGAGGGGCCGACCAAGGGCAAGGTGGATGGATGGATGGCATCCTTGAAGCGACTGGACTGACCTTGAAGGAGACCCTGGGGGTGGTGATGGCCGACAGGGAGCTCTGGCGTGGGCTGGTCCATGAGGTCACGAAGAGTCGGAGACGACTGAACGAATGAACAACAACAACCCCTGCGCACACCACCAAAACAACGCACTCCCACCACCACACAGCCCCCAATGCCACATCAGTGCAAAACCATGGAGTTCAACATAGCCACAGCTCTAGCATAACAGACTGCCTCTCAGTCTGTTTGTCCTTGCCTTTGTCACCCTGTACCATCTGCCAGGTGGCAATAATTCAATATTTTGGGTGAGCTGGATCCCCAAGAATGCTCTGAGCTTTCTTAAGGTTGCGAGACTTATAAAGTCCTTCCAAAGAGGGGAGAAAGAGGGCAACCCATGCTTCTCTGTGCAGAAGGGGGGACCCTTTGGAGCACCTTCCTGCCTGCGACTCTGCAGCTACCAAACTGTGCACAGGTCCAGTAGATTAGGCCACTCTCTAGAGCACAACAGGAGAAAGTCACCAGTGCTTTTTCAATGCCATTTTCGGCTAAATCAAGAGGAGCCTAGTGTTGCAACTCAGGGAAACCATACCCTGCCTCGGTTCTGCTTGGTCAGAGCTCATCCTGGAATAGCAGGGTTCCGTTCTGGGCACAAAAATGCAAGATATGGATACGGCCAAGATGGAATGTTTCCAGAGAAGGGCAACTATAAAGAGTCCCAAAACATGGAACTCATCCATCCTCATGAGGCTTAGGGAGTTGGATCTGTTTAGCTTAAAGAAAAGGGACATGAGAGCCAGGTCTCAATATCAGAAAGGAGATTCCATTGAGGATGGTGGGCAAGCTGGTTTTGTGGGATGCAATAGATTCAGTTTGCAAGAAAGGAGATGCCACAACATTAGAAAGAACCTCCTGATGGTCAGAGCTGTTCGATGGTGGAATAGAAGTCTCCTTCCTTCTCTGGACGGCCTTCAGTTAGTAGAGCTTGGATTATGTCTTCCTGCAATGCAGAAGGGGGTTGGACTGGATGGCCCTTGGGGTCTCTTCTGCTTCTAGGATTCTATGCCGTGCTTGTCTTTTTGCCCACTATCCCATTTTCCGTACCACAGTTGGGGTGCCATTGATGAGAGCGGAGCCTGTGTGGGGCGGCACAGAGAAGATGCCTTTATGGCCAAGGGCTGCGGCTCCTTTCAGGGCTTTCTGAGCCCCCCTGCCCGCCCGCTTCCTGTCTTTTCTTTGGGCTCCGTCACTCTTCTCCGCTTAATCCGCTCACGAGTGCGCCTCCCAGCTTTGTGAAGCAGCCGCCTGCCTCTTGTGTCAAGGGCCAGCTCTTCGCTTGCTTCCTTCCTTCCTTCCTCGCTCCCCCTTTGCTTCCTTTCATGAAAGGCCCTTCCGAGAGACAGCCGCATTCTCCAGCCAAGTGGAACCAGAGGAGGCCTGCTCTTTGCCAATTGCCCCTGAACAAGGGAAGACGCAAAGGAGGGTGTTAAGTGGGGCACAATGCGTTCCCATGTCCCCCCAAAAAGTGGGGAAGTTTGCCAGCCAACCCGGCCAACCTCACAGGGTTATCAAGGAGATCAAAACAAGGAGCAGAAGGAGAACTGTCCTGGAAGCGAAGGATGTAAACATTGGAAAACAGTCAAAATAAGTGAACTTTTCCTCCCCAACTTGCAACTTCAGCTGAGAATTTAGAAGCAGGGTTTAAGTGTCCAAAGACAAGGGAAGAAAGGAGTGTGGGCAATATACAACTTTGGCTTCTTGTTCCTTGCAAAAACAGAAGGGCCCGAATTCTGGTTTTACTCCTGCCATTCTTCGCCTGACTCCTTATCTAATGTTGCAGTTTTTGGCTCCTCTCGCAGAACTTGAAGCCCAATTACAGACCAAGGCTTTTTCCAGCTGTGCTGGATCTCCTTCCTCCAAAGCAGGAAGCCTAGAACGAAGAATGAGGAACCCCTTTCTGCCCAAAGGGTGGATTCAGCTTCTTGGGATCCCACTGTGTCACCATAAGCACCTCACATGCTCCCAAAATAGGCCCAATTCCAGCCCAAGGCTTTTTTTCCAACTGTGCTGGATCTCCTTCCTCCAAAGGAATGAAGAGTGAGGAACTCCTTTCTGCCCAAGGGTTGGATTCAGCTTCATGGGCTCCCACTGTGTCACCATAGGTGCCTCGCATGCTCCCCATCTCGGAGGGGCTATCTGAACAAACCTGGCCATGGAAACCCCTGAGAGGCTCACCTTAGGGATGCCATCAGTTGGAAGCAACATGAATGCAGATGACGACGACAACAACGAGCCTTAGGACTTTGCTGAATGGGAACGAAGCTGTATACCCCAACTGTAGTGATGCCGTAGATGATACGGCCCCGTGAAAATCAGGGCCTGAGATACAACAACTGTGGCTACCTTGGGCTGTGTTGATCTCTGCAGCTCCAGGTGTTTTTTCCCCGGGAGCCTTCTGTATCACTTAATTCTTCACCTGACTCCTTATCTAATGTTGCAGTTTTTGGCTCCTCCTGCTGAACTTGAAGCCCAATTACAGACCGAGGCTTTTTTCTAGCTGTGTTGGATCTCCTTCCTCCAAAGCAGGAAGCCTAGAACGAAGAGTGAGGAACCCCTTTCTGCTCAAGGGTTGGATTCAACTTCATGGGATCCTATAGGTGCCTCACATGCTCCCCATCTCGAAAGAAGTCCAAGGCAAAGCCTCTCTGAACAAACCTGGCAATGGAAACCCCTGAGAGGCTCAACTTAGGGATGCCATCAGTCGAAAGCAACCTGAATATAGACGACAACAACAACAACGAGCCTTAAGACTTTGCTGAATGGGAACGAAGCTGTACACCTCAACTGTAGCGATGCCCGTAGGGCAGATGATATGGCCCTGTGAAAATCAGGGCCTGAGATACAACAACTGTGGCTACTTTGGGCTGTGTTGATCTCCGCAGCTCCAGGTGTTTTTTCCCAGGAGCCTTCTGTATCACTTAATTCTTCGCCCGACTCCTTATCTGATGTTGCTGTTTTTGGCTCCTTTCGCAGAACTTGAAACCCAATTACAGACCGAGGTTTTTTTCCACCGCTCCTGGTGTTTTTCCCCAGGAGCTTTCTGTATCACTTAATTCTTTGCCCGACTCCTTATCTAATGTTGCTGTTTTTGGCTCCTCTCGCTGAACTTGAAGCCCTGCACTTTCCGAGTCAGATTTCTCACAGAGAGAAGCATCATTCCCCTGTCTTGAATCTTCATCACTTTGTGGCCCAGGAAATTCCACAGGCAATCCCACAATCCTCTCTAAAACATCAGTGAACCCATCAGTCTCAGGCTGAGCTACAACATAGCCCTCCCTTTAAAAGGAAAGGAAAACAAAAAACTAGTGTAGATCTCAGCTGTTTCTTTCTCCTAGACTTTTCATGGCATGGAAATTGAAAGGAGAGCTTGGAAACCAGGAGGGGAGATGAGTTGTAATTTGAATCTGTGTCTATCCGGTGGAGACCTTGCAAACTAGAAAGCCTTTTCCATCTATCTATTTATCTCATGCTGGAAAAGGGCAAAGGAATGTCTCCCTCGCTCCCTTGGGCTGCTTTCTTCCTGAAATGTCCTCTTTAAAGAACCAAGGAGAAGTTGCTCTGCGCCTGGAGCTGAATGTCAATTTTGTCAGGAGGCAGGCTGCGGGGGGGACGGCGCTCTTGTCATCAAGGCAACGTTAAGCCCGAATTTAATCATTCCT